AAACTAAGGTGGTGCTATTGGGACAATTTTTTTATCTCACCTTTTTGTATAACTTTCACATGTCATTAAATGAATGAATGCATTCAATATCACGGATCCCACATAAATTAAAAGAACCAATCATTTTAATGACACATCAATTATACAAAAAAAAAGACAAAATAGTTGTTCCAATAGCATTTCCCTTTAAACTAATTATAAATTTAAAGTCATATAAAAATATAAAAAAATGAAATGGAAATGATGAAAAAATAAATAATATCTATTTCAGTCATTTTAATATTAAAATATCTTTTATAAAAAAATTTATTAAATAAATTTTTACTTTATAAGTACTTTTACAAAAAAATTTTATCAAACACTATCAACTTCTAAAAACAACACTTCTACAACATATTCTTTTTAACAAAACTTTTATTAAAAACTCTAATCACATTAAATATACCCTAAATAATATTAAAAAGCTAAAATACTTACATATTTCAGCAAGCATGCTCTTAATTTTCTTCCCGATAAATTTCAAATTTGAAGAGACAAATTTTAAATTTTTAACTTCAAAAAGTTATTTTACAAAAAGCTGAGCCTTACAAGTTACAGCCTTCCCATCAGTCGAGAATTTTAAAATTTTTCCTACTCGTTCTAAAAATTTTAAAATTAACGGTGTTATAGAAATAATTTTTTTATATAATTTTTTATATATTTTTTATATGTTAATAAATAAATATGTATATTTAATATCATAAATTTTAAAAAATTAAAAATTTAAATAACACATTAAATTATATTAAAAAATAATATAAAAATTTATTCTAAAATCATTTCCCTTTTAAAATTCATATATGAAACTTTTTTTCTTAAAATTTAGAGTAGAAAAATTATGCAAATAAGCTCGTCTACTCAGCTTTCAATTAAAGATAAATTCCCGAACCTTTCTTCCGTCCAATTTAAACGACAATGCTCTTCGAGTGGAACTCATATGGCTTCTAAATTAAACCTTATGTGGCATCATCACTCTCCATTATACAACCACAAGCAGCAAGCAACAAGAAGCCGGATCTACTCAAATCAAGCAGCATTATCCGTTACGGTTAATCACCAACACTTGGCAAGGGCATTTTAATGACTACAGTACATTTTAATCCGGGGGTGCCTCGGCAAATATTTTTTTTTACTTTTTATTTTATTTTAAAATAATAGATATTTTTTAAAATTTTATCTTTAAATTAAATTTTTAAAAAATATTTTTATTTATTTATTTTACCTTAAAAGAGAAATAAAAATAAAGAAACTTTTTTATGATAGGATTGGTGACTAAAATTAAAAGATGCCCATAAAGTTAAATTATAAATAAAATCATTGTCTTCCCTAAATTATAAAAAAATATTATTTGTAAACAAATTTTAAATTTAAAAAATCTATTATTTTGAAACGGATGGTGTAATTGCCATAAATATTGGACAAGGGTTCTT